CCCCAAAACCCCAAAACCCCAAAACCCCGGGGCGGAATAGGAATATTGAATTTATGATGGGGTATTTTGAACATAGGAAGGCTTCTTTAGAAATAGTAATGGCAGCAGAGCTGCTACTGTGATGGATCAGAATAGTATCATTGGTATTGGGTGCTTGAAGTCGGTCATTAAGTATGACAATATTGTCACTGTTCTGGATACAGCCTGGGTAACTGAAAACGCAAATCCGACAAGAAGAGGTGGGAAAAATTCATTATTCAAGAAGAACAACAAAGTAAAGCCTCCTGCCACTCCCATTAGTACAAGAACAATTCATGTTGAAACGATCCATCCTTGGTTGAAGAAGATGAGTCCGAACCCGAATATGAATGAAACGTTGAAGCATATGATCATGGAGACCTTACTTGAAAAGTATTTCCTAATACCTGCTGTAATAAACTTTCCTCCAACTCCGGCAAGAGCTATGAGACTTGAATTTAAAAAGATATTGCCTCCGAGATTCTTGGTGTTGTAACTCAACATATTGAAGTTAAAACAACAAGCTACCCAGCAAATTGTTAAGATAACCAAGTTTATTGCTAACCTTGGCTTCTGAATCATCTGTTTGAAAGGGTTCTTCTTCTGGGCAAGTTGTTCTGCAATAATATCCTCCTGTTCATCATCAAGAAGTATTTTGTTCTCATCATTTTTATCTGAAGATTGATTTATGATCATACCTTTCTTATTTTTCAAAAGATCTTCTTCTGTCTGAACTTCATCTGCAAATCTCCAGCGTTTCATATACATATCAGAACCGTTCATGCGCGCCATTCTATCCACAAGCTTTCTTGCCTGTTCATAATCTCCATTGTCAGCCAGGAAACGAGGAGATTCAGGCACGAACAAAGAACAGATTGAAAGAAAAATAGTCCAGGCGATAACAGCGTATCCAAAATAAACCCAGTTGTTATTGATAAATCTGAAGTAGAGGGAAGATATTGGATAGGGAGAATAATCAAATGCCAGCACAATAGTTGCTAGAATATATTGCTTTTTGAAAGGGCAGATTTCAATGCAAATAATATAAGCAGCTACTTTTTGAATGGTCCACACACCAAGGAAAAACATTCCTAAATATCTTATATATACGTTGGTTATGAATACAATAGATGCAACTGTTGCAACTGTTCAAAATGAAGATACTATCAAGTTTATTCTTCTTCCAAATTTTGAAGTATACCCAAAAAGAAGACTGCCAATTAAATATCCTGCAAAATAGATCGAACCAAATAAGCTGACTTGGTATGGAGCTACACAGTACATGTCCAGCTCGGTTATCCAGTTTTTAAGAGATGTTGTATCTGTAAAGTCAGGGACTGCTCCAGGCTTGAGATTTCTTCCATCTCATGGATCTATAAACCAGTTATATGTATTAGAAATAAAGTCTTACCTATCCCAGCATCGTCTCAGTTCACAAGATCACCATCTGCATTGAGTCACTGCATCACTTGTTTGAGTGTAAGCAAGTTCAAGTTAAATGTGAGGAAGCCTGCAGGTACGAATCACAAAATAGTTATGGTTCAGAAAAGCCATTGGAACTTTCCAAAGCCGCCTGCTGCTTGGATAGCCTGTTCTACCTCATATACATCTGCTTCATCGATATCATCACCCATGTCGATCGAATCTCTTTTAGAGGAAGAATCTGACGAAGTCTATGTTAAGTTCAATCCTTATCCTCAATAAATCAAGAAATTTTGAGCTCCTAAACTAAGATGTTCTCAAACAAAAATTGATTTGAAATCTAAAAAAGCTCACCTTGAATGAGTTCTTTGCCATCTTGAATATATTTTATCGAAGAGTTAAAAAAGTGTGGGGTTTTGGGGTTTTGGGGTTTTGGGGTTTTGGGGTTTTGGGG